GCTAGGGTCCATAGTCTCAGGGGTTCCACCAGGCTCTATCAGAGTAACAAACCTAGTCCTTTTTTTTTTTTTTAATGATTTTAAGTTTTGTTCCAATTGTTCACCCTCTTTATCCAGGATCTTCCACATAATCCCCTTCCAAGTGGTTGACAGTGGTAGCTGGGCACCATCTAGTTCTTCAGGTCTCATAGTCATATAGGTTGAGGTTTGCATGGTGTACCAGTCCCTTGGACTAATTGTTTCCATGTGTCTTTGGTTTTCTTCGTTCTTCTTTGTTCTGGACAAGGAGAGATTCATTGTTGCTTCTAGATGGCTGCTTACAAGCTTTAAGATCCCAGTTGCTACTCCCAATGTAGGATGTAGAACAATGTTTTTGTGTAGTATGTTATGCCAATTGAGCTTGATGTCCCCTGTGACTATAATCCCGAGCCCACAGGTCCAACTACTCACTCCCTCTAGGTAGCTGGCTGTGGCCAAAAAGTGACTACAATCTTGTCCTTTGTCAGCTCTATATATACCTAGGAATTCTTATAGAACATACAAATACACTTGTAGAAACATTGTCTGCCCTATACATGGTCATGATCCATTAGCATTTTTTAAGGACATGGAAAAGACAATCACTAATTTTATATGGAAAGGAAAGAGACCTAGGATAAGTGAAGGATTGCTGAAGAAAAAGAACAAAGGTCTCACACTCCCTGATCTTAAAGCTACATGCATCTCATACAGCCACAGTAGTCAAAACAAGCTGCTGTTGGTGCAATGACAGGCATACAGACTAATGGAACAAAATTGAGAATCCAGAAATAGATCATTCACCTATGGACAGCTGACTTCAACAAGAGGTTGAAACCTATTCAATGGGAAAAGAGATACTCTCTTTAACAAATACTGCTGGCAAAACTGGATACCCATTTGCAGAAAAATAAAATAAGATCCATACCTGATGCCATAGACAAAAACTAACTCAAGATGGATCAAAGACCTAAATGTAAAACCCAAAACTATAAAGTTCATTAAAAAAAAAAAAGAGCTAACTTAGGGACCCTAATTTATGGCATAAATAGACTATCAAACATAACCAAAAATGCACAAATGAGAGAAGATAAATTAGGTGACTGAAACCTTCTAGAAATCAAATTCTTATGCACATTAAAAGACTTCTGCAAAAGAAATAGATAACCAGACTGTGGTACATACACACAATGGAATATTATGTAACATTAAAGAATAATGTAAACACTGCTGAACACCACATAACGTAGATGAACTTGGAGGACATTGTGCTAAGTGAAACAACTCAGTCACAGAAGGATAGATATTGTTTTAGTCCATATTGTAAAAGTCAAGGAAAGGTTTATATATGGAAGGAAACTTTCTTTGTTGGTTACCAGGGATGGGAAGGAACACTGTAAAAAAAAAAAAAAAAATGCATTGACCCATGTCACTTTAGTTTTGTGTATTGCAGCACACATAAATTATATTTCAATGAAAGGAAATATACCTATGACTGTATACAGGTTTGGCAGATGATATTTCTACTTACATATTCATATGTGCTATAAAAATGTCTTGGACTGCTAAAAGAACTAACAAATCTGTCCTGGAAGAAGTGCAGCCAGAATGCTTCTTGGGAATGAGAATGGCCAGACTTCATCTTACTTACTTTGATCATGTTGTCAGAAGGGACCATTCTCTGGAGAAGGATGTCATGCTTGGTAAAGTGGAGGGTCAACAAAAAAAGGGAAGGCCCTCAATGAGATGGACTGACACAGTGGCTGCGATGATGGGCTCAGGTATAGCAGGGATTATGAGGCTGGCACAGGAGCAGGCAGTGTTTTGTTCTGTTGTGCATACAGTCACTATGAGTCGGAGATGACTCGATGGCACGTAACAACAACAACAACAACATAAAAATGTTTCTGTATATGATAGAGCTATCAGGGTGCAGAGATATGATAACTTTGTTGGCTGTGTCTTAAGATAATCACTTTTGAGGTATAAAGGAGTAACTTAGGCACAGATGCAAGGAAGGATAAACTGGAGAAAATTGATGCCACACACCCAACACTGATAAAGGGTCATTAATATAACAAAGAAAAGCTGATGTCAGATGGATCTTGGCTGAAAGCAAAGAATACCAGAAAGATGTTTATCTGTGTTTTGTTGACTATGCAAAGGCATTTGACTATGTGGATCATAACAAATTATGGATAATATTCCAAAAAGTG